TGAAAAAAACAAAAATGTCAGCTTTCCTTAATAATTAATTTAAAAATTCAAGGTGATTTCAGATTACACAGTCTAACCCTACAGCCACCAAACTTTTGTTCAACTTTTCTTCAAAATGCAAACCAACAACACATATACTAGATTGTGTGGATGATGGCACATTGTCTCTTCAACTTGAATTTTCAGAATGGTTAAGACTTCTCCCTGTAATCATTCAGAGAAAGTTCAATTCTGTTTCTAATAGGACAAATGTTCTATGATCATAAATTGCCAATCTTACTCCGAGGGGTCACATTAAAGCTGAAAAATATGCTTTTTAGAGATAACATAATTTTGGCATTTGTCTCTGGGCTGGGCTAAGGATCCATGGAAAGGAGTCACAATAAGTTGTGTTAATTTACTTTGCAGGACTTCTGGAAGGGTTATTTTGGGTTAGGCCATTATTAGGTAAAGTTATCTGGATTACAACAAAGAACTAGAGAGCAACTGGTACTTCTGAAATTCCATATTAGTCATTTCAGATATGCAACTCTCCTCACAGTGATTATTGGTGAAACATTTAGGGGATATATGCCAGTTGGACTGTTAAGTCTTACTGTAACTAAGAACGACAGTTACATTACATTAGCTTTTGCAAGGCTTGCTCCCTCTTTAATAGATAGACCAATCAACAAATGTCCAGATCTGAAATGCGGATCTCATTTCTGGATCCTTTCAGACATTGCGAAAAAGCAATAGACATCAGGATGAAAATGGTGCAAAAGGTGTAGATTCTGGTATCTGGCAGGGAGTGACTATGTGTTTCTAAGGCTCTGGCTTACACTTGAGATGTTGGAAATTGGCTGCTAGATACTAGAAAAAATGTTTGTTTTGTGGGTACACTATCTTTTTAGATAAAGTGAAAACTTCTCTGTGCGCTTTTGGATGGGAAAAGTCTTCCTGTTACTGATAAACTAGCCAAGAAAACTACTGATACTTTATTGTATCAGGGAACAAATGTAGTGTAGGATATTCAGAACTGCAATCAAAAGATTGTCAGACTTCGGCGATTTTCTGTTGGTCTCTTTCCATGGTAGTGGTCATATCATGTAGAGTATAATCTGTGCTTCTGTGCAGCACTGAGAAGAATTTTGCACTCACTGTATTTTGGACGGAATATTAAACTGAAATCCATTCAGCCAGTGGAGGTAAATTTTTAAAAATTCCAATGACACTACTTTAAGAAACAGAGGCTTGACAACATTTACCCCTCAATACACCAAAACTAACTAACTGCTTATTCATATTTATGAGATTTTGCTGTGTACAAATTGTTTATTACATTTAATTAAACCATTTCCAAAACTTCATACTACATTGCTTGTGAAGTAATTTGGGCTATGTTGAAGAACATATGAAAAAACAGTATATAAGTACAAGTTCTTTATTAGTGGAGCGTTTTTGTGTTGTAAGGCTTCTCTGAGGAGATATGTGTTGTCCACTCTTTTCAAATGTATGCTGTCAGGACTGCTAGTCAACAATTCTAAAAATCACAGCTTTCAACCCAAGGAATATACCCATTTCTGTTTTTAACTGCGGCAAAAGTCAGGTGTGAGAGGTTACCCACATCATTGTTCTGTTTGTTGCAATTTGTCTACTAACCAATATATGTAACACTTCACATTATACAAGCAAACACTTTGGTTATCGTAAAGCATCTTTTACCCAAAGACACTCGTATGTTGGCGATTGGGTGCAACAGCACATGTTGCATTTCAATGCCTTGCACAAGGAGCCACGTTTAATGTGTGACCTTGGAAAGAGTATTGCGGGGTTAATAGAAATTAGGAAGCATCACACCCGAGTCCATTCATTCTTCATCAGATACCCCATCTCTCTTCTCACCCTCTCTCAGTTCCTCCATCTCTCTTTCCCACAGGAGTCACGGAGCAGTGGGAACGATGGTTTAGTTGGATGCTAGCACTATCAACAAATCCATCAGAACAGCCTAAAATTTACGTATTTTGTTCAAATGAAATATATGAAAGAGTAAGTCAAAGAACATGGTACAAGTATATGCTGAGTTAAAAGTGACTAAGTGTAGCCATGCCTCCCCACTGACAGTGACAAAAAGTCACTGCATAAGATATTTGTTTCATAAAAACGGGGTTTGTATTGTACAGAACTTTGAAATAATATATAATAATATAAGTCTCTCTCTCTATATATATATATGATATATATATAAAACAATATAAGCTATTGGAGAGAATTCTTAAGCGATAGGATTTACGTGCATTTGGAAAAGCATGGCCTAATTAGACACAGTCAGCGTGGCTTTGTGCCAGGCAGGTTATGTCTTATTAACTTGACTGAATTTTTCGAGTAGGTGACAAAGGTGATCGATGAGGATAGAGCAGTGGGTGTTGTCGATGTGGATTTTAGTAAAGCTTTCCGCAAGGCCCCTCATGGTAGGCTCATCCAGAAGCTTAAGATGAATGGGATCCATGGTGATTTGGCCGCTTGGATTCAGAAGTGGCTTACCAAAAGAAGGCACAGGGTAGTGGCGGAAGGGGAATTTTCACGCTGGAGGTCCGTTTCTAGTGGTGCTCTGCAGGAATCTGGGACCTCTGCTGTTTGTGATATACATAAATGATTTGGATGAAAATGTAGATGGGTGGGTTACTAAGTTTGCAGACGACACAATGATTGGTAAAGTTGTGGATAGCATAGAAGGTTGTCAAAGGTTGCAGCAGGATATAGATCAGTTCCAGATATGGCAGAGAAATGGCAGATGGAGTTTAATCCAGGTAAGTGTAAATTGCTGCACTTCGGGAGATCAAATGCTAAGGAAAAGTATACGATTAATGGCAGGACCCTTAACAGCACTGATGTACGGAAGGATTTTGGGGTTCAAGTCCATTGCTCCCTGAAAGTGGCCACACATGTAGATAAGGTAGTAAAGAAGGCGTATGGCATGTTTATTGGTCGGGGAATTGTGTACAAGAATCAGGATGTCATGATGCAGCTTTATAAGACTTTGGTTAGGCCACACTTAGAGCACTGCTCAATTGTGGTTGCCAAATTACAGGAAGGATATGGAGGCTTTGGAGAGGGTGCAGAAGAGGTTCACCATGATGCTGCCTGGATTGGGAAGTATGAGATATAAGGAGAGACTAGAAAATTTGGGTTGTTTTCTCTGGAGCGGCGGAGGCTGAGGGGAGACTTGATAGAAGTCTATAAAATTATGAGATGCATAGATAGGGTTGACAGTCAGAATCTTTTTCACAGAGTTGAAATGTCTAATACGCGGTGGCATGTATTTAAGGTGAGAGGGGGAAAGTCCAAAAGAGATGTGAGGGGCAAGTTTTTTTTACACAGAGTGTGGTAGGAATCTGGAACACGTCGCCAGGGTGGTCATGGAGGAGGCAAATACGATAGGGGCATATAAGGGACTTTTAGATAAGCACATGAATAAGCAAGGAATGGAGGAATACGGACCAAGAGCAGACAGAAGGAATTAGTTTAATTTGGCATCATGTTCAGCATAACATCGTGGGCCGAAGGACCCATTCCTGTGCTGTACTGTTCTAATTCATAGATCATAGAATCCTTACAGTGTGGAAACAGGCCCTTCAGCCCAACGAGTCCACACTGACTCTCAGAGCATCCCACCCAGACCCATCCCCCTATAGCCCACCTAATCTACACATCTCTGAACACTACAGGCAATTTAGCATGGCCAATCCACCAAGCATGCATATCTTCGGACTGTGGGAGGAAACCAGAGCACCCGGAGGAAACCCATGCAGACACGGGGAGAATGTGTAACCTCCACACAGACAGTCGCCTGAGGGTGGAATCAAACCCAGGTCCCTGCTGCTGTGAGGCAATAGTACTAACTATTGACCCACCGTGCCACCCCATTCTAAATTCTAAGTCAAAGTTAATTTACATGTATTAGAGAAGATCTGACAATCTATTGAGGTGTACTGCCTAATGAATATGAACACACAAAACAAAACTACACACACTAGAAATCTGAACTAGAAGTGGAGAATGCTCAGCACTTGTGTTGAAGGATCTGTTTAACCCCAAAAAGGCATGTTGTCCACTCCCTCCAAGTAGCAGAGTGCCCGCCATCTTCAGCTTCTGTTTCTGGTCTATGATTCTTCACATTTCATATGATTTTTACTTTAGTTTAAGGAAATTTTAAACATAAGAGTATATGTTTAAATGATGGCAGTTTTTTTTTTAAATCCTGCTGTATCTGGTAAAGGTCAGTTTCTGAATCTGTGCCACTAAATTAAATGTAGGGACAACGGAGCTAATGGTCAATCAATGCAGGACATAATAAAGAATATAAATCTATTAATATTGCATGTATCCTACAGGATTTAAAACTTTTGCTGTTTTGTAGCACTTTCTGTTGTTGGTACAACTTAAAATCGATTGGCATAAAAACTGCTACAAACATTCTTAAATTTGGATTTTTGATTTCTATTGACTTCTTTCAGGAGTTTTATTTAAACTCTATTAAGTCTGGGTCTTTGGCGAGCTGATCATAAGGTTCCTGGTTGGTGAGGATCACCCTCTGTCTATGTGAAGCTTAGGGCTTTCGATATTTCCACCAGAGCTGTATTTCGACAAAGCAACGTATAGCTCTCACGTAGAAAACTTTCGGCAGACTCTGCCTACAAATGTATTCACTTGTGAGCAACATGAGAACAATGCGTTAGTACAAATCACAAATTACTAGTAGTAGGCTTCTTCCCCATTGTCCAAAGTTAATATTCAACGATGTCCTGCTCTAAGTCCTCACCTAAGAAGGTGTGAAGTGTACACGAGCTGAGGGAGGGAGTTTCTAAACAAAAGTTTACTTTTGGATAAAAACACGTGCAGCTGCTGCGATTGGAAGCGGCAGAATTAGAGGCGAGTTGGGCTGGGCATGTGAAGCGCACAGCAGAATGGAATTGTGACTGCAGTGGGCACAGTGGGGGGATGCAGAGGGCTGGACTTACCGGCACTGGAGACAGAAGGTGACAGTCGGCGATCATCAGTGCTCAAGCCCGGAGTGGACAGTGAATCCGTCCCGGGGTTGAAAGTCCTCCAGGCGGGCTGCGAGCTTTCCGGAACACTCACCTCCTCCCAGCTTGTGCTTTCAGCGGTAGAATTTACTGGCAGGTCGATAGAGTCTGTAAAACCAGACCGGTCCGTATAAGGGGCGTACGATCCACCGTGCAGAGGTCTGAAGAGCAGCAGGAGTAGCATCAGGCTGCTGCTGGGGTAAATCACGGCGCATGTTGCCATTATGATGATGCCTGATCGCTTCGGGGGTCCTGATTCCGTGTGCCAAACAAATATACAAACACACGCGCGAATGAAACGCCTTGGAGACAAATCCGTGTGTGCAAATGCCTCGATCTTAAGCCTGCTTGTATTTACAGAGTCGGTCCAGCATTCTCCAGTTAGTTCAGCTCCACTGCAGATATAATCCAGGGTAATAATCCATCTCGAACTAAAACTCATCCGGCTGCGTCTGAGTGACTTTAATAGAGAGAGACAGGCTGGGCGATTAGACTGACTGACTCCTCCTAGGGGTCGGTGCGGATTTCCAGTTGAAGCCACGCAACCCAAACCACAGTCATACTTTATCAGAATAAAGGTGTTTTTCTTTCCTTCTCTTGTAGACAGTGGAACACTTTATTTCCAAGATATATCATCCTGGGATCTAAAGTGAGTTTTCTCTCTTGAGGAATAAATACAGGTGCCTTTCTGCAAACTCAGGAGCTTCCCAGTTGACAAGAAATCGGCATCGTTTCTATTTGGATTTACATTGCTTCACCTGATACTTTTGAACTTCAAAACTTAGGATCAAATTGGACCGGCTCAAACAGTTTTCAAATATTTAAGTGGAAAATGTTTAAACTTTAAATGTGCCAAAAAATAACTTGCGCCATCTAAGAATCAACGAACGTGGTTTAGAAAGTATAATTTTGCCCTGCAATATTTTTCAGGCCCTGCAATATTTTTCTATTGTTCTATTGCATATTGTAATGTATTCAGTAAGTGCCTTCTGCGTTTTTCACCCATGCCTTTAAAACTCTACTGTGAGATAGCAAGAACTGCAGATGCTGGAGTCAGAGACAGCACAGTGTGGAGCCGGAGGAACACAGCAGGCCAGGCAGTATTTCCTGCTCCTCCGATGCTGCCTGATCTACTGCGTCCCTCCATCTCCACACTGTTGTCTCTGAAACTCTGCTGGGTTGGCTTTGGGCGTAAGCTACAACAAATGCAGAGTAACTATTATAGAAAGGCTGCTTGATTTACCAGAAAACAAATCATTCGTAATAAAAGGTCGCTACTAAATTGAGCGTATGTGAGAATCTCGCTTGGATTTGGAACCGAAAATTAGAGGCTGCATTTTCCTTGGAGGTGGATAATGCAGCCACATCCTTTGTGTCCATGTAATTTTCCAACGTCACTTATGTTGACCTACTTGTAAAAGACATTGTGGCTTTCTACAAGATCACAGAAAATGATAATGCAAAGGAAATTGACTGTGACAAACTAGAAATTTGCTTGTGTTTGAATTTTAAATATTACAGTTTTGTACTTTCAAATTGTCAAGTTATCTCACAAATCAAATCAAATGCTTTACGAGACATTTTATCAAATGGGAATTCCCCTCTAAACTGTTACAAGACAATCAAATAGGTTAATATTCACTGATTCATCCTTCTGTTGTTTCTAATTGAAATACTCAAACTGTAATCTAATTGTTTGTACATCTCAGCTTTCTAATAATGTTTAAGGTATCTTTGATAAATACAAATGGATAATGTGACAATAAAACTAAAAAAATTTATGCATGTAACTTGCAAAGTCTTTGAACTGAACTTCCTTATAAACTTAACACAATTTTCAATGTTTTCAAGGATCAACAGTCTGAGTTTTAAACTTCAGAAATTCTATAGATCATTTTTGTACATACAGATTACGTGTAAATCTGTTTAAAACAAACCTTATATTTAAAGTTTATGTCTGACATGAGAGGGATTAAAATAATTTTTAGGAATATGAAGACTGTTAAACCAGTTACAGTATTTTTGACTGATTAAGTTTACCTATTTGCTACATTTTAATGCTAATAAAAGTTCTTGGGATTGTGCCCATGGTCCATCAAATTGTGACATTCTAATCATAGCTATGATGTAGCATCATATGAAATAGTAGAGATATCCATTCATCCCAGTTATTATGATCCCAACTGATGGTAAATATCGGACAAGTTAGACCCCAGAATGAAACCTGGCTTGATAGATAATATATTTAACTTTTGCAGTTCGTTTACTTGATGGTTAGTCATTGAAATATATTCACACCAGGCTACAGTTGTTAACAACAGAACTTAAGTATATTACACAAAAATACAAAGCTATATATAGAAGAAAGTTAGAAAATTTTAACACATACATTTAAAACAAAGTTTCAAGCCGTTTCCCAACACTACCCTTTACAGACAGTCAATCTCGGAGAACCATCGTTCCTCTATCAGCTTTTTAAATCTTTATATAACTGACCCTTTCCGGTTTCTTTCTCCTGGACTATTGAAAATTCTTTGTTTACAATTCCATTCTGATTCCACTGGCATGAACCTCTTGTAATTCTGATGGCCTAATCTTTTCCAGTTCTAACAATTTTTGGATTTTTAATTCGAGCTCTCCCAGCTACAAACTCCCCAGACTTGTAACAACTTCTATTGAGGTGAATGGTTTCCCCCAAACTGATATGGTTCTCCAGCTAAGAGAAATTATTCTTCTTTTTGAACTGAACTCTGTGCTTCTAAACAAAGACTTTGTTCCTTCTGTTTTGAAGGCAACATTAAACTAACTGTCTTAATGTGCTCACTCTGCGTGTCATAAACCAACCACATCAATACGTCATCTATTAACACAACAGAGGATTTCCATCACATGCATTCTTGAAACTGATGTCTTTAGGTCACTGTTCAAATTGACTTTGTGACCATACAAAAACAGAACTTCACAGAAGACTCTGTTTGAAAATCCAAAAATGCATCATACATGTTTCACCCTAATATGCAATCACTACAGCTCTAAATAATCCAATGTAATGAAATATAAAAAATAGACTTGAGAAACCATATGAGAAGAAAGTAAAAAGGAACATATCAAAATTGTTATAATTTCTACTGGTATTAATCTTAAAACAAAATTCTCCTTCTGAAAATTAAAGCACAACATCTAAGTATTTTCCCTGGAGCATAGGAGGTTGTGAGGTAACCTCCACCCAAGGTGACTGCGGAGTAGAACGCTTCAGCTGGACCTAGTCCGCTCCATCAGTTTCTTCTTTTTCTCTCTCTTTTGTGTTTTATTTTCTCCTCTTCTCTCTTCTCAGCCTCCTGGCCTCTGACCTCGCTGCCTTGCACCTTGTAGCCTCTGACCTCCTAGCCTCCAAACTCCCAGTCTCAGCACAGACCCGACAAAGCGTCCTCTTGGCTTGGCAGTCACTCAGCCCGGCATGTAATCCTCTCGCCTGGCATGGTGGTTTCTCAGCCTGGCATGGCCTCAGCATGGACTTCCAGTCTCAAAGTATGATTCCAGAGCAATCTCTCAGCCTCACGAATGCTGAGCTAAAGCCCGATGCAGTCTGCAGTCAAGACCCTGTGCAGACTGGAGGAAAGGTTACAGCATGGACTGGGTTGGAAGACTGTTGTTCTGAATTTTTTTATCTCTCCATTTTATAATGTATTCCTAAAATCTGCAATGCTAAACTTATTACTTCTCTATTTTTCTAAGAACTGTAACTGAAGAAGTTGTCCCTAGGTACCTTTGTACATCTGGGTACATCTGGGATGTCCTGCGATAGGGTTAGATCCCAGATGTCCTTGTTTATCAAGGACCGCAACTTCCCCTCCATAGTGGTCAAAAATGCCCTGAACGGTCTCTCTCGCATTTCCCGCAACTCATCCCTCACACCCCCTACCCGCAATAACAACCAAAACAGAAACCCCTCGTCCTCACATACCACCCCACTAACCTCCGAATCCAACGCATCATCCTCCAACACTTCTGCCATCTGCAATCTGACCTCACTACCAAAGAAATTTTTCCCTCCCCACCCTTATCTGCTTTCCGGAGGGACCACTCTCTCCGTGACTCCCTTGTCCGCTCCACACTCCCCTCCAGTGCCACCACCCCCAGCACTTTTCCCTGCAACCGGAGCAAGTGCTACACCTGTCCCTACACCTCCCCCCTCACCCCCATCCCAGGCCCTAAGAAGACCTTCCACATCAAACAGATGTTCACCTGCACATCTGCTAATGTGGTATACTGTATCCGCTGTTCCCGTTGTGGCCTCCTCTACATTGGGGAAACCAAGCAGAGGCTTGGGGACCGCTTTGCAGAACACCTACACTCAGTTCGCAACAAACAACTGCACCTACCAGTCGCAAACCATTTCAACTCACCCTCCCACTCCTTGGACAACATGTCCATTCTGGGCCTCCTGCATTGCCACAATGATGCCACCCGAAAGCTGCAGAAACAGCATCTCATATTTTGCTTGGGAACCCCGCAGCCCAAGGGTATCAATGTGGACTTCACAAGCTTCAAAATCTCCCCTCCCCCGACTGCATCCCAAAACCAGCCCAGCTCGAACACGCCTCCCTAACCATTCCTCCCACCTCAAGCCCCACCCCCATCTCCTACCTACTAGCCTCATCCCGCCTCCTTGACCTGTCCGTCCTCCCTGGACCGACCTATCCCCTCCCTAACTCCCCACCTTTACTGGCTCCAACTCTGCCTCTTTGACCTGTCTGTTTCCTCTCCACCTATCTTCTCCTTTATCCATCTTCTCTCTGCCTCCCCCTCTCTCCCTATTTATTTCAGAATCCCCTTCCCCTCCTCCATTTCTGAGGAAGGGTCTCGACCCGAAACGTCAGTTTTCCTGCTCCTCTGATGCTGCTTGGCCTGCTGTGTTCATCCAGCTCTACACCGTGTTATCTCAGATTTTCCAGCATCTGCAGTTCCTACTATCTCTCATTCACTTCATTCAAATTCCTTTGTTATGTTTTGATTTCCATAGGTTGTGAGGTTCTTTTTTTTATAACAAACAGAGCACAACTGTAGCTGGCAATCACTATATGTAATTAACCAAGAACCAATAAATATTTTTTCAAGGATAATTACTTCCAGTTTACAGCTGCAGAGGTTAATTGCATTCTACTACCAATTCTAATTTCAACATTATGTTTTGTTTGCTTATTAATGAACATTTTAAAATTAGGAAATGATTTAAACAAAATAATATAATCACTGAGGAAATGGTACATATTCCCATTGAGGAGAAATTTCAAGCTAGTATATTTAATATTTAGTGTTACATAGTAAATATATGTTTCTTGGAGATTACATGGCAGGAATTCAATCAAGCAGTTCGGGTGATGTTGGAAACCATGAAATCAAAACTGCTAACTATGATCCAATTTGAAAAATGCTATTTTGCCTTTAGAACCAATCTACCTATC